CCAAGGGTGGGCGGGTCTTCGCGCTTCAAGGAGACGGCCGATGGCGGTCGGCGACGGTGATCCGTTTCCACAGGGCCCGGAGCCCCCTGACGGGCCGGCACCTGCTCAAGCTCCGGTACCGAGACGGCAGTGTCGAGGAGTATGTGGACGCGGAGGACGTGTGCCTGGCCCGGCCCCAGAGGGGATCGGCCAACTCGCCCTCTCTCGCCTCCTCCCCGACCTCCTCTTCTTCCTCCTCCTCTCCCTTGCCCACCCAAGCGTCGCTGTGGAAAGCCTCCCTTGAGCGCGTCTCGGCCCCGACGCAACGGCGCGACCGGCGGGAAGAACTCAGCCGCAAGTACGCCGCGGGCGCCAGCCCCTCCCACTCACCCGCCGAGGGCGGCTTTTCCCCGCCCTGGCCTCCCACCGGCCCGCCGAGCTCTTCCCGGCAGCGCCCATCTTCCATTCCGGCCCCGGAGCATTCCGGACAGGCGCGGGAGTATTCGGTGGTTTTCGGGGAGGGGCCCATGGGGCTGACTCTGAGCAAGGTCGAGGGGGGCCGGGCCCTGGTCACGAGTGTGGCGCCCGCAGGCCAAGCTGTGCTGGGCGGGGTGCGCGTGGGGGATGCTCTGGTTAGCCTCGACCATCAAGCCATGGCGCTCTACGACCTGGTCATGGCCCGGCTGCCCTCCCTCCCGCGGCCCCTGGTGGTTGGCTTCCGACGGAGGATGGAGGGGATGGGGAGCACCGAGGGCGCGGTGGGAGGCCCTAGGGCACCGGGTCCGCGCTGGCTGGGGAGCGGGGCGTCGTTGTCGGGCTCGGGAGGTAAAGCCTTCGCGGGCGGCTTCGGGAAGTCCCTCCAGGTGCTCACGCGCCATGCCAGCCTTGGCCCGGGGGCAGCCGCCGTCCCCTCCCTGGCCTCGGCCTCCTCCTCCTCCTTCACGAGCGGCGGCAGCTATCCCTTGGGAGGCGGTTCTGGTCTCACAACCAAAGTCCCGTTGACCGAAGACCCGGATGCCGGGGAATTCGACGCCTGTTTTGCGGAGGGGCCGCTTGGCATGCGGTTGGAGGAGATGCCGTTGACGTCGAGGGAAGGTGGCCTCAAGTACGTGTGCCAGGTTTTGCAAGTGACCAGTGGGGGGGCAGCTGAGTCGAAGGGTGTTCGTGACGGTTGCTGTGTCGTCGGCGTCAACGGGGAACGCTTCATATCTCATGCACACACGGTGGCCACTTTGAAGCACGGGAAGCGCCCCGTGCTTGTCCGATTTCGGCTGCCGACATCATAAGAGTAGCTTAGCTTCATACTCAAATTTGGGAAATGTTGGGGGAAAAAAAGTTTGTACGAAAGTATAATGCGCGAATGTGCAATTTTCTTGACATGTCCTGCTTTCTGTTGACCTTTCCTGGCCCATGCCAGGGGTCGACATGGATAACACTCCCTCTCCTCGCCTGCTCGTACTGCTGGGAAAAACACACACAACACCACACCACACACTTTAAGAAGACGCGTGTGAACACATCATTTGCTCATACATAGCGAGCCAATAAACCTATAGTCATACCTTTGCGAGTCCCCGTGGCCGTTCTAAGCCCTCGCTCTCGCTTACGCCCTTGCCCGGCCAACGGGCGAGTTGATGTTGAGCTAGCCCGGGCAAACGTACGAAAATTTGCCAGGCGTGAATGGCGTCCTACTTCATCGGATCGCACGTGACCAATGAGTGCATTCCGCCTGTGCGCAGTATGATTTTCATAAAATGGGTCGTTGCCGTGTAATGTGCAGATATGTTCTTCCAGGACACGGGTTATGTCACGGGGAGGCTCTTCCCACGCTTTTTGTGAGCCGGGCTGTGCTCATGGCGACTGACTTGCCATCCACTGCACCGATCTCTTCCCTATTTCCAATTTTTACGAGAAGAAATGCAAAAAATGTGACAGCTCCCATATGAAATTATGCCCCTTTCATTTTATTGTACATTAAAATTTACGTTTTCCGCCAGCGGCTCACCGGCATGCTCTTCCCTATGCTCGCACTAGGTGGGCAAGCCATGGCTGGCGGGGACATGGACATGTCACATTCCATAAATAAACCATCAAAGGCAAGTAAACATTACATTCAATGACTAGTGGTCCCTACTTGTGTAAAGTACCTGCGCTTGTGCGTTGTATCCAAATTAAGACATTCTGGATACGTGCGGGAGGTTTTTGCTAAGCATGACACAGCCCTTCATTATTTCCTCTCAGTGTATTTGTAACATTGAACTTTGTGCATTACCCACCCGACCTTTAGCAAATTGTTGATATTAAACTCCTCATTCCATATTGCAGGTGCTGGACGAGGATCTGCACGGGTCGCACGGCCATAAAGCGCACGATGCCAGCCACGGCCATCACGGCGGGAAGGACCATGGACACGGTGGCGACCACGGGCATGGTCACCACGATCTGACGCCCGAGGAGCTCAATTGGAGATGCCGGCTCTTCCTTACGCTTGAGGAGCCCGATTACTCGCTCGCGGCCCGATTGTTCTCCGCTTTTATCAATGCCTGTCTCTTCATGTCGATTATTGCCTTCATGATGGGCACCATGCCTGAATTCAAGCACTTTCCCTACGTGTGCCCCCCGCACATGATCGTGGGCTACACATGCTGGGATGGCTATGGGATGCCGACGAAGGTGATGCCCGTGGACGTGTACCACAAGGGTTCCTATTTGGAGGGGAAGAAAATGTACGATGAGTACCTCGAGAAAAAGAAGGAGAAAGAAGCCGCAGCAGGGGGCACCAAAGGAGGCTACGGTGGTGCTGGCGGGGGAGGAGGAGGCTACGCTCCTGCTGGTGCCGGCGCTGCAGGTGGGGCTGGGGATTACGCGGGGGCTGGAGGAGGTCCCGCGGCTGTGGGGGGGTATGCTCCCGGCGCGGGTGGGGGCGCAGGCTACCCCCCTGCGGGGGGGACTCCAGGAGGAGCAGGAGGGGCTGGAGCTGGGTACACGTCTGGCACTGGAGGGGCCGCGCGTGGTGGTTATCCTCCTGCGGGGGGTGCGGCGGGGGCCGGGGGGCCTGCTGCT